AAGGGAAGGGGAGGGAAGGGAAGGGAAAGGGGAAGGGGGGGAAGGAAGGAAATGGGAAGGGAAGGGAAATAGGAAGGGAAGGGAAGGGGGGAAGGGAAGGGAAATGGGAAGGGAAGGGAAGGGAAGGGAAGGGGGGGAAGGGGAGGATTCCACCACAATGTTCCTACTAAAGAAGGACACTCTCCTGCCCCTCTCTGCTGGCAGATCTGAGTAGATCTCTGGAAGGCTGAGTCTGATTCCCACTCCTTGTGCCAGCTTCCTCCTCCTCCTTCCCACTCCTGCCCCCTGGAGCAATCCAGTGACCGCCTGGCCAAGGTGCTGCCCCTGCTCTGAGCACAACAAAAGTAAGGCCCTTCCTGGGTTTGGGTTGTTCTCCTCGATCTCTGGTCCTGCTCTCCACCTGTGAGACAGGCAGACTGGTGTCATTAGCTGAGGCCCAGAGGGGCCAAGCACTGTAACTTTGGTCACCCAGCAAGTAAGAGGAAGCATTTTGATTCCACAGAACCATTTTTTACCTGCAGACTGCCTGCCATAGGGGCAGTAAAAATGACCAAACCTGGCAGTAGGTGAAGTGGAGACTGGAGGCCCCACCTGCAAACACAAAGGGCAGTGGGGTTGAGCAGGTAGGTACCCCAAAACTCAGCCCAGCCTGTGTCCCCCAGCTCAGCATGGACGATCAGGGCTCAGAGCTCTTGGGCAGGACTGGCAAGTTGGTACCCCAGTAACTCCAGAGAAAGCCTCCTCTAAGGGGGTCCAGGGCCAGAGCCAAAGGCAGGCCCTGTGTGCTGGGGGTTGATTGCACGGGTCCCCTCCTGTCCCTGCTCCTGGTTTATTTAGGCCTGAGGAAAACAACTAGAAGGGAAGTGGTCCCTGCATTTGGACAGCTCTAGAGGCTAAGGGAGCAGGGAGCTAAGAGAAGACTCACAGAAATAGAGAGACAGGTAGAACCAGAGATACCTGGGCAGAGCTCAAGACCTCAGCACTGGGACCTGCAGATCAGCTGGGGATTTTAGTCCAAGAGGACTTCCTGGAGGAGGGGAGGGAGATGGCTTGGAAAGAGGGGGTGTTAGGGCTGGCAAAGAAGGAGGGAATGGAAATGGTCTGGGGGAGGAGATTTGCTCAGCCTCCAGAGAGCAGAGAGCTATATGTCACCAAGCACGAGCTGAGGAAGCCTGAGTTGAGAAAGCCTGAGTTGAGAAGGAGGAAAACTATGGGAGCGCGTGTTATAATGTGCGATAACCCCTAAGCCCCCACCAGGAGATAAACCATCTGTGTGCAGGGACTGTGTTTCATTCAACTGTGCACCCAGTGCATGGGGGCCATGCATGCAGTCGGTGCTTACTAAATGCTGGATAGATGAATGAAGGCATGAATGGCAGGTGCTTGCAGCTGCTGAGGGATGAAAGCTTCACCCATCATGAGGACGTTTGGGGCACCTGCTCTATGCTGGACCCTGTGCTAGGCACAGCGGGGGAGGGAGGAGGAAATAAAGGGGAGAGTGGGGTCCTTGCCTTCCAGGGGCTAAGGGCTTCACGGTCCCTGTTGAACCCAAGTCCCCTCTGTTGTGGTCAGCAGCCGAGTGCTCCTAGGGGACCTTGGGGAAGGTGTGCCCCCTCTCTGCTTCTTCACCTGTAAATACAGAGGTGAGATGGGTGCTTCTGCCGATCCCTGCTCTCCCCTCCCGGCTCCCCTCAATCCACTGGGTAACAAGCCTGCTGCCTCTCGCTGTGTGGTCTTGGGCAACCTCCAGGAGGTAAAGGACCCGCCTCATAGATGGTTGGGAAGCTTTAAAGAGACGACGCACATTAAAGGACTTCGGCACAGTGCCCCGCACAGGTAAGTGCTTACAAATAACAATAATAGCAAGCATGCTCATTGTGAGAGCCTTTCCCCTATCCCAGTGGCGTGGTTACCGGAAGGACCACCTGCCCAGGCTCACCTACATCTCGCCCCGCCCCGTCCAGAAGGGGCGGGGCTCGGAGACTCAGAGGCCTGGGCCAGCTGAGGACTAGAAAGGTACGCAGGTGGCCCAACCCTCCCTTCCCCGCGGAAGCTGACCGCCCACATTCCATTAGGGAAAGATCAGTGCCCGCCAGGCCGGCTGCACCACGGCAGCCACTGCCCTCTGCCAGCCTTGCAAGCCCCGCGCTTCTTAGGAGCCTGAGCCGCGCCGGCTTCCCTGCCCCAACGGA